CAAGAGGCAATATTACTGCTGAACTATTTAATCGCGAAGTGGATTTTCCCGACCAAGTTTAGATGGTTCTAATCGAGATTTTTGATGAATACATTTTCCATCACCAGTGTAGTTGAGAGATGCCCTTAATGATGAATAGGCGTTGGGGTTTTAGTTGACGAATCACGGCAGCAGTGTAAAGCTGCTGCAGACAAAAGATCGACGCCTGGATGTTCGGGAGTGTCATAATGTAGATGACCTGAGCGAGTGCTATGCCTAGGTAGGTGTGCATATTGTGCATGTTAAACAGGGCTAGAAGTAGGGTCACTAGGCACTGGACGCCACAAACGACAGGCCTATTCGGAAAGGAAATCCGAATTCTCATTTCAACGAACAATACGTACCTCTTTTCCCTTTTTGTCCCCGGTGTAGCCAGATTGATATTCTGACTCTTTCCTTGTTTGGTTAAAGAGCTGGGATGGATACTGGGGATTTTATATCGACTGTTGTTCAACCATGGAAAGCTTTTCGCAACCTTACGAGAAAACCGCAAGCCTCCCGTCGTGACCGTCGGAGCACAGATAAAAATTGTATTCACCGCTGCTGTGAAATCAAAGAAAGGGAGGAATAATTACATTACCCCGTATTTTAGTCTTCCTACCACTGCAGTGCTTTCTCTTCTTCGTTACACTCACGTATAGTTACTTTTTTTGCTCCCCAAAGGAAGTAAAGAGGAATGCGTACTACAATGGTCAAAATACTCGCGACCCGCCTCTTCCATCCTCGTAACTCATTATCCATATACCTAACCCGAGTCATCTCGTCTGCTATTCAATCATGTGAACTATTAATAGAAGGAAAACCACCACAACAAATAACTCGATCTTAGTGGTGCAATTTATGAAAATATAATATCAAATATCTTTTCTGACATACCTAATAATGAGAGAACTGACCAGATCATGCGGGAGATTCTCCCAAAGTAACCCCGACCTAATCCTAGTCAAGTAGTAAATTCAGGAGATGTGGATGATGCTCCCTTTGGTCGTTTAAATAACTAAATTGTACGATTGGATGAACACCCTGGGTATCAGTCGTGGCTGTGCTTGTTTTGAAATAATTGACTCCTCTCGTGTGGTTGAATAGATGGGATTGGGCAGCTGCTGATAGATATCAGCATTACAAGGGAAAGAAAGAGTACTAGAACGTGATTAGTCACGAAAGATACTTAGGTACGAAGCAGAGAAGAGAAATGAAAAGCTGCTTTTACATAAAAAAAGAAGAACCCAATCTTACCTCCTGTTCGAAGTCTTGGTCGTACTGTACAAATGAAGCGATCAACAATCTAAGTAGAAAATGTTGTCATTGGGGACGTAAAGTTAATCTGTCCAGTTTCATATATTCCGTTTCAGGGGATGTATCATCTTGCTAAAGAATATTCCTTCGCTCCTTCCAATTTTCGAAATGGATGATCTACTCTGTACTCTATGTATTAAGCCTATCTCTAAAGTGGCAACGATATAGGGCTTTTCATATAGATATATCAAGATGCAGCTACTATCAAGGTAGTAGAGTTATTTTTCTTTTACTCCCTATCTCATTCCCTTGCTCGCCATCTTCGTGCGTTAAGTTGAGAAGCCTTCACACATACATCAATCAGTTAAGTATCTATCGTATTTTTCCAACAAAAAAACGACGGACTTAAGGTACCAAGGAATAGTAAGCTTTAGTTCATATGACAGCTCGCGAGTTAATTATAATCCCAAAACTAGGGACTAACATAGATAACTTTTCTTTCTTCCTTGGGGAGTGGCTTCAATAGTTTGAATTGCTAAAGAGATTCCCAAGAGGAATCATTAAAATAACAATATTTCGAGTGTTTCCTTGCTTCATCTCATAACCAATATCAATCATTTTCGCAATCACTGGGCTCGAGAATCCGTAACTCTACCGTCGTAGTACACGATATTGTCGAATCCATCCCATTGTTGTACTTCGTCCTACCTCATGCAAGGTCCCATACTCATACCTCATTACCGACTTGCCTCGAAAGCTAGATTGGCCTTTCGGGTGTGATGTGAAATAAAGTTACGATCATCTACTAGGTTTTTTCTTTGTACAACCTACGCTTGTATTCTATTATGCCAGGGAGCAGGCCAGCTCGTCGCTTGCGGCACCAAATCACTGGACGAACACCACACCATACACAACAACGTTGACGAGTGGTCCAATAAATCAGACGGAGCCACGATACAATACTTAATAAAGCTCACATAACCTTCAGTCAGACCAGATATCAGTCTTTATTGCGCCACCAAACTTTTGGCTGACAGTTCTCAATTATTTTAAGCTCCTCTTTCCACTCTATCTTTATTTTCTATGTGATGCGTAGCTCATTCAACTAAGCGCGCCTTCTTAAGATACTTCGATTACTACGCCACCAAGGCAAACTCCGTGTAATTTCCCATATGGCTACCTGCATGACCTACTGCCTTGCACAAGACTTTTCGTTTCTGAAAAGTCGGTCGGCACCATCCGGGCCTCAGAATACGTCTGGTCAATTCGCCAAGAATCATCATGTATCGATTGTCATTTTCAGCTGATCTCGTTGATTTCCAACAGCACGATTCCCATCAGCTGCTATTTTCTGATCTTATTGTTGCATGATCTAATTGTTGCGATAAGGCTTCTGTTAATATGACTGTGTTGGTACTTACCAGCAAAGAATATAAAACTCAGAAGGCTTACTTTCCATCTTTGATTCTATTTGTGTTTTTTCTTCCATGCATAGACAAGTAACAGGGCCTTACATCCTTGTGCCACAGCAACATCTTACCAACCACGGCTCTGGATCCTCAAATCATTTGATCTTTCTACGCTTGGCTTACTGCATGAAGCCGAATTTCGGTTCCTGGTCGTCGGGTTGATCACAATTTCATGTACGCACCTGTTGGCAAAGTGCTGGCCTAGACTACCATTGTGTGCTGCATAACATCTAAAACAGCAAGCTGAACTAACTGACGACCTTGCATTGAAAACGATCAAAAGCTAAACTGTTTGCGAAGGGAAAGAAGCAAAAGAAAGGACGCTTACCCTGTCCTGTACGAAGACTCCACGTGGCGAGGACGAAAACGGAAATTGATGACGATAGCATATAGATGTGTTCCCGCGCTCGCCACGTGGATTCTAAGCAATTTTGAGAAATCAACAATTCTCTCAGGCCGTTCCGGGCGAAATTATAACGGGAAAAGGGCGGTATGCAAGAGAGAATTTCGAGGGCGGTATGGGTACACGGTATGTGATCAGCCTTTTCTTTCCTGTCCACTTGGCATGTGCATAGATGATTGATCCACGAAGCATAACCGTCTTCGCGGGATAGCGACAGGGCTTTGGGGTTTATAAATGATAGAGTGCCACCAATATCCCTTGGAACATTACGGATAGATTCATATTTTCTTCCCCGTGGGGGATCACTCGGCTTGCTGCGACTGCGACGGGAGGCAAGGATGGAATAAAGGTACCACAAAGTATCAAGGCTATCAGCGATGCCGGCCCATTGAGAGCATCGAAGGTTAGCACGCTTATGAAAAAGAATATGATCAATTCAGTAGGTGCTACATAACTATCGAGTCAAACTTTACTCGAGCCCGCACTTTCAAGTACAAGCCTCTTAAACAAGTGTAAGACTCAAAAGAGGAAGAGGTAATGTACAGTAGAGAGCGTGTCAAGAATATAGTACATGCGTATCTATGATGTACACTATACATCCGTTGTACTTTACACATCATATATTTCTACTCGTGAATGATGAGAAAATCTCAATTCACTGTCATAGAATGGATTTGGAAGCTGAGAATTCAAGATGTGCAACAAGAGATCTCACTCTAGACTATACTGGCTCAATCTTCTAGGTATAGTGAATTGACTTTCGTTTCCGCTATATACAATTGATTCATAAAACGGGAAAGAAATCGGCGAGGAGATTTGGGGAGGTCTTGCCATGATATTATCCCATCTTACTTCAAAACTGCCCATCCCACTTCGGACTTCTTGCCTGGGTATAGACAGGTGAATGCGAAAGATACCTGGTATAGGTAAACTCACAGTACTTCTTCGGGGTGAAGTTTCATTTCCCGCAAATGTGCCATGCATATTCTCACCAATATCCCTCGTGTGAGATTTTCCGCGAGGCCTTTTCATGGATGCTTTAAAAACTTTGATTTTCTGCTAGTGAAAAGAATAGTATTGGATTATTGATCTTTATTACTCTCACGCTCACTTTTACACTGTTTTTGAGGAGTCGGCGACGATAAATGGTCTTGAGTGCTAGGCGAAAAAAATATCACCAGTTAATTTGAAGTTGAACTTCATATTACCAGAGATCTAACTGTCAATGCATCATCTAAATGCATGTGATGACAGGAATTATAAAATTCTTCAATTCATCAACCTCCTTTCCTCACTACTACCCCAATCAAACCAAACAGCAAACAATTCTCACCCACAAAATGCAATACGACCTCAGCTCTCGGCAGGCAGCACGGATCCCCAATCCCACCCCCTGACCACGCACCCCCATCAGCAAAAAATTTCCCGAGAAGATGCACGAACCGCACGCACGCAATCACGGAACATGGGAATGTGATAGCGGAGTGCAGGAATCAGAATCTTACTCCGTGGAATTTCTTCATTTGTGTATGATTTGCCGATCACAGTCGTAGTCACTATCACATTGCATGTGCAGATAACATATGTGTGTGAGTGATAGAACATGGTTTAGACGTGGAGTCCGGGGCCAATTTCTCCTTTGGGATAGCAGCGCCGTGGGGGCTGGAATTGCGGGGGTTCTGGTAGGGGCGGGGAGACGACACGACATGTAGTGATATACTTTTTGATACCTTGGCGGAGGAGAGCGGGATTGTGTCTTTTGATTGGATGTTGATGCTAGCACATATTGTTGAACGGTGGTTGAGATTGACTCATAATAATCTGTTCTTTACCACCCTATGAAAGAGGTACAATTATCTACTTTTCTTGAATGCTTTTCTTATCCATTCTAATCTCAAATTCATGTAGGCTTGAGAGAGTTTTGTCTGGGGTCTATGTAAACTGTCAAAATCACAACGGTTCCCCTCCAAAATATGCAACTCCGTTTCATTCCCAGCGTCCATCAATCTCGTCGCATATTTCATGACTTGGTCTCTAAACACTTCCTCCCTTCCGACATCAATCCATGTTGGTGGTAAATCATACAAATTTGGCGCACAGGCTGGCGTTACATATCTCAGATGCTGTGACCGATGATAGGTTCTCCGGACTTTTTCTTTCCGTAGAGCTTCTGAAAGAGTTGTTTTGTCCCTCGCATCAGCGTCTAATATAAGCTGGAGGTCGGAATAATAGTCTGGAATGATATAAATGTCCGGCTGATAATAATCCCATACAGTTTTCCTCAAGACTGTAGTGGTCCAGAACTCCCCTTCGTCTTCGGTATCTTCTTTCAATTTCATAACCAAGCGATCATCGATTACAGGGCAGACTAAGCACTGTGCCATTAACTTTCCCCCTTCATGTAGTCCCATATCGACTCCATCACGAGCCATGATTGCAGTTGCGGCAGCAAGCCCTCCACCTAAAAACTGCCCAGCTATCATTATCTTCGTAGGATCAATGCGCAAATTGTTGGCCTCTTTGAAAGCGTATTGAAGACCACGATAGCAATCTGTTAGTGGAGTGGGGCACCAACACTTGTCCAGAAGGCGATAATCGATTGTGAACAGCACAAGATCAAGTTGTTTGATCAGATCGAAGAAGCCGGATATACCGTCAAGGGGTCCATCGGCCATGAAAGGGTCACCGTGAATGAAATATATTGCCGGTCTAAGGTTCAAGGATGTGGCGGTTTTGAGTTGTAAGATAACGACTTTAATATCTCCATAAGTGTTTGGAATTTCTGAATACTTTGAAACGACCACTTTCGTGGCAGATATTTCTGGGTGGTCGACAAGAACAGCATCTGCAGAAGTTTTCGGTCGGGAATGCCACTGACGAATCATGTTGGATGTTCCTTTTGTGAACCAAGAGCCGCCGCGTCTCATAGACCTTTCGTTCCGAGCTTTCTCGCGTTCATGGGTATCAGGTGGTGTATGAAAAGGCTTTGAAGGAAGGTCTTTTGAGAAGGGATGTTTTGACATGATGATAATTACTTCCGTTGTAGCAATAGTCAATTTCGAAATCAGAACATGCTGCTGGACCAATGAATTTTGAAGATATCTCGAGTCTGTATCACAGTTTAAAAAGTAAGAGAATAGCAAAAATGTTTCCAAAATTTCTGAACTTTGTCAGGCTCTGAGGTTGTCATGAAGTTCGAGAACACTGGGTGGAATTACACTTGAGGTTACTTGCCCATAATTGAATTGCGTTCTTGCCCTGAGATCATAGTAAAATGCACAGATCCGAACACAGAGGAGTAGGTGCGATATGGCTAAGGTTAGTACTTGGAAATGCTCAGGTTGTAGGGCTATTAGATCTAGAGACATGCTAAAAACTCAATACTGTATGGCACTATATGATCTGTGAAAATGAACGACAAGTGCTCATATTTACGATTCTTTCTAGGAAATGTGTGCATTTCCAATTGATCAATCCAAGGAGGAAGGAACAACAGTGAGCTAGTGATTATACAGTATTCCTGTTTATTCTTCCATTTTTCATGTACAAAATCACCTGGAATAGACAAGATAAAAGTAAAGCATAGTTTAAAATGACTAAAATGACTTTGGCAATTTTAGGTGTCTCAATTCACTTGAAATAAAGCTGCTATAGCTGTGTACACGTTGAAGAACGCACCTAGTGTATTACTGTTGTGAGAAGTTGTCCGATTTGTAGAATGAGGAATAATAAGCAGCGAAACTTGATAATCGAAGTGAAACACATTCGCAAATAAAATCCAGTCCTTTGAAATTCTCAGCAACCTAAACCGGGTATAGTACTACTCTAAAAATGACTCCTCCCATCTTCGCCGCCTTCCACAGAGGCAGCGTGTCCGACTATAGTGTGAGCTTTCAATATTTGAAAGGCTCTTAATATTAAGACTGAATCCAGAATCTCAAACCACATCAACTTTCCAATGGGATTGAACAGTTGAAGGTTCCAGCTGCCGGGTTGTATCTGGACTATTCAAACCCTTCAATCCATCTCCTAACCATTTCACAATCCCACCTTTCGGATCTCTTCTCAGCTAGCATCCCCTTAATCCCCTCTGCCATCTCATGATTCTCAAATCCTGCCGGATATCTCCCAATTTTAATATCATTCAATACAATGTGACGCTCGGTGCGGGTAGTAAAGGGGATAATGAGCTCAAACGCTATAATTCCCAAGGCATAAACGTCTAATTTAGGGCAGACAATAGTGGACTTTCCCGGAGGCATATAAAGCTTTGTACCTGCTTGCTTTGACCCGAGACGAGAAAGCTGTGTTGAGGGATTAAGCTCAATAGCTCTAGTAGATGGTCCAGTAGCAGGAGTAGCCGTAGTTTCAGCAAGTTTGACTGCTAGTCCGAGATCGCCAATGCACGGCGTAATGTAAGCTTTGTTTTCGTCGGCAGATCCAGTACACGTGGGACAGGCGCTTCTGCTGACGTCTATTAGGTCGTGCGAGGGAACGAATGCTTCCAGGTCCTTCTTGGCGGATAGGAATATATTGGCGGGCTTGAGATCTCTATGAACCAGGCGTTTTGCGTGCAGATATTGGACTCCATTTAGGATAGCACCTAGTATTCGAATTGTGGGAAGTGTATGAAAGCAGTGGCGGATAGGAAACTCGTGACCTGGTTGTGGTGTATCCGTCGAGATGTATTCCTCTAATGTAAGAGGATAGACAGTAAATCGGATGTATAGAATGCGAGCTCTATTGTCATGTGGAGTGATGGCATTGCCATTGTTGTTACTTTCATATTCTTCCTCTTCATCTTCGCTTTCCTCTGGCGACTTCGCGCCGGATCTTGTCGCGGTAGCATTTGAAACATCGAAAACGATACCACCATCACCACTATTTGTGAGGACCTGGTCACTGCTAGTTTTACCCCGTCTTCTGTTGTCTTTATTAAGTTCTTTCTCCATGTCCAAGCGCAGATCATTCATGCCGAAAGTGGGGTCTTGCTGCATCCCAAGTTCATCTTCTGATTGTTCAACCTCACTCATAGACATTGAGAGATAGCTCGACTCGTCCTCGGCATTCATTAAACGCCTTGTTGACGGAACAATTGCATTCCCCATCTCAATCCAACAACCATAGTAGTTGACAATATTGGGGTGTTTATGTTCAGCTAATGCTTTCACCTCAGACAACAGTGCCGCTGTGTCAACCTTGCGTAGCTGATCTGGTGTAATGATGACCTACAGGAAGTCAGCAAGAGACGTCTTTTTGCAACTTGAATCGATTGGGATGGTCAATTAAATTGAGATCCTCGACACCCGAACAATGACAAATGCTATGCTCAAGGGGCATAATTATTCTTACTCACCTTCTTGATAGCGCACTCTAGGTCATCAACTCTGTGTTTTACTTTATAGACTGCTCCAAATCCTCCTTTGCCTAGCAAGCTAATCTGCTCCCATTCTCTGTTGTAAATTGACCTGTATTGAAAAGGATTTGTAGTCAAAGCAGCTGACGAGAAAGGGTTCTTGGGTATCATTGCAAGATTGAAATTTTGCGGCTGGTCGAAATAGGACATTTCCATCGATGAATTAGACGCTAATGGAAGGATGGAGTTTTGGCTAAAGGTTGAAGTCTGTACACGCTGCGATGCAATTTGAGAGAGAATGGAATCGAATGTTGAGAGATAGCCCTCGCGTAGAGCTGCAAATTGTCGACCTGCAAGCTCGTCTGCTCTGGGAAGTACGCCTAACCTTCGAAGCTCACCCGCCATATGGCTAAAGAGCCGTTGAGTTGAACGCTGGATCTCTGGATGATTCTCCGGCAATTGATCATCTGGACCACGAACAGAGTTCGCGCTGGTCAAAGCTTGTGCTTTACATCTTGCCTCAATTAAGGAGAGGTAAAAAAGAGTGGCTTGCTGGTTGTTTGATTGTCCAATTGGCAATCCTACATCGCCAAATCTCATCATAGCTGTAGAGGGAGATTGAAAAGGGAGGTGTATATCCTCGGTGGATGAATCATAATGAGACTTTTCATCCGTTGTCTCCTCGTCGCTAGAGAAGGTTCTTTTCTTGCCAGTAGTAGAAGACATGATGTTCCTCTCCTATTTGGTCCTTGGACGACTTTCAATATCGAACTGAGGTCTGAACATTGAATTGTCGATATATAACAAACGAAGAAATTGGAGAATAAGAGCAGTATAGAACTGTTACGAGAGGCAAGTATGTGATATGTCTTTCTTATACGTGTCAAATTGGCTTTTGATTGCGATTTCTCCTTTAATGGAACCCTGTCAAGTGAAGGGCTCGAAGAAGAGAGTGTAGGCTACAGGATATGAATACGCCCTGAGCTCTAGAACAGTCATCGAAGCTTCTTTCCAATTCTGGAGAGTTGCGCCCTGTAAAAGTGGGTCCATGGCTCAGATACAGCACGTGACAAGGTCATGCAGAAAATCAGATGAATCATGGCGGTGAAACGCGTCAATATCAGAATCTCGATTTCTTTATCACAAGAAAGAGATGTCTCAAATGTTCCACATTGGAAGAGGCAGTAATACAAAGGCCTTGGCTGATATGAAATAAAACTTGAGTTGCGAAAACACTACGAGAACTTTCAAGCTAGTTAACTCTAACAATTCTTCCCCAGATCAGACATCACTGGCTTTTCTCTCTGCGGAAGTGTTGTTCGCGCGCTGTGACAGACAGAACGCATATGGCTGCATCAAGTGGTTTGTCTTTCATTTGAGAACTACGATCGAAGAACTAGAGACGGTCATCTAGTTACTGCCCATCAAAAGGCTCGACAAGAACATATCAAGGAAGCACTCGTGGTGAATGCGTCCCTTGACAATAGGGCGCATTACATTATCGTCTCATCGTCCCATCTTACAACACTCTTTAGACGATCCCGCTACACCCACTTCAGTGTCTGCTGAAGCTTTGATTTGGTCAATCAACGTCTTTCTACCAGGACAAACTTTTCTGCGTCCACGAAACGCCGCGCTGAAGGATTATGGTGAGCACACACGGACGACTTCATGACATCCCATCCACTGAATACTTTGATGTTGCTTGATGATATCGACGAGCAATTATACCGACTATCGATAATAGACAGAGCATTTCGTTGTATTGTTCTTCAATCACGCCGCTGCACCAGTACACAAGAATCGCTTTCATTACGGAAACCACTTGAACAGCTTGGCACGCGTGGTCATTTCTGCCGTTGCAGGTTCAAAGTTGAAAGCGATTGAAACACCTAGGAGGAATGGTTATTCACTACTTGCTTGCCGAATTTTACCTTTGCAAAGAGACTCCAGTCCCGCCCATTTTGTTGAAGGCCTTATTACGTTTTCGAACAAAGAATCAATCTTACAACAAGCCATTATCGGCAATGAATTTAGTCGTACCTAATATTATTCACGTTGACTTTCAACTTGTCTTGCAAAAAATCCCGGTTTTCCGCTTATCTTATTTGTTCATAGTAGTTACCAACGGGCAGCACCTCTACTTTCCAAGGCTTGGTCCCACGTCAAGTATTAGGATTATCATTAAAACATGAGAACACTTCCATGGAAGAAAAAGAATGGTTCGACTACACTATCCCTTCCAAGGAAAACCATTGCGTCGGTCGGCAGGTCTACAAAGCGCCTTCGTGTTGAAGCTTCTCTTTCTGACAGCGATGATGATTTCAACTATCCACCTAAGCGGATCAAAGCCATAAGCCATAGTTTGTACTCTTGTAGGCATTACTCTAATTCTTAGGCTGATTTTGATCAAGGTCGTGAACCATCTACATCGCCTCCACCAGAACCTCCCACTGAAAGGTTTGTTCGATTTTAAAATCTATTCGTTTGTGGCTAACCAGGTAGTAGTTTCATGGAGGAAGGTCGAGAGCATGATGATAAATATCGTATTGTTGAAGACGAATTTTTGACAGTTGCAAAGTCGTTCACTGTACATCTACACACAGCCGAATATAAAAGACTTGGAAAAATGGCCAAAACACGAAATGCTGAAGCCATTAATTCGATTTCAAGGCCTGTGGTTGGTAGAATGCCAGATGCAACAAGGCGTAAAGCCGAAGAAGTTGCAAGGTCGAAAAATCAGCGAAAAGTTCTAGAGAAATTAGTTGGCAAAAATGAAGATGGCCTTTCTGGTGATAGTGACGAAGAAACTTTGCCCTTTGTTGGAACATCACTTTATGGCCTGATGACAAGTCCAAAGAAAAGAGGTATATCACTCATGAACATCTCTTCTCCAACCAAAACTACAAGAGCAGCTGCGGGATTTCGCAATCCCACTAAATTTAAGACCTCACAGCGCGTGTCCTCTCCGACTATCAAAACTAAGACTCAAGCTGTGGATTTAGATCTAGATGCTACAGCTTCCGAAGACGATGATGATCTAGATGCACCTATTTCGGTTCCCAAGTTCTCACTCTCTAAACCAATCCCTGGGAGAGATGCTGTTAATACAGAGTCAGAAGCCATGTTATCGACAATCTCAACAACAGCAACTCCGAGTAAGCTGCAAAGTTCGAGTATTCCTGTGACTCTTGATGCCAGTGTTTATAACCCTACCAAAGCTCCGATTGCTGATCCGTCCTCTAATTCATCTATCACACAAGATAGGATAGCAAGACGAATTGCGCAGACGAAACTTAGAAGAAAACAGGAGGAGGAAGACAAAAAGAAGCTCGACATCATACCGACATTCTTATAATTGATCAACAATCATATGTTGAAATTATCATTACGATTTTATATCACATATCATTCACGGTTCTCGCTGAAAGCTTCATTCATGAACTTTGAACTAAATGGTTTATTACGATCATCGCAACTACAAGAGGTTTGTGCACATCATGATGCCTTGAATGGAGTCTCGTATGGTGCTTCGGCTTGTGGTGTGATACGCGCGAGATGCCTGCGTGCTCCACCAGACCAATCAACAAGAGCGGTATGAGTTGCCACTCTGTTATCCCAAACAACTACAGTTTTTGGTGCCCACTTGACTCTTACGTGGAAGTCGGCGCCTAGTGCAATATGATCATACAGGAAATTCTACAAAACAGTTAGATAATCGTTGATATATTGTAACATTGGGGAGGAAATTACCAATAGTACATCGCTTTCTTCTTGTTTCAATCCTATGATTTTTCGGGTGACTTGAAAATAGGTCAGTGACGAACACACTAAGTGAAAATCGCTTATACTTACATTGTTTGTTAACGTACAATGCCTTTTCTCCAGTCACAGGATGCGTTCGGATAATAGGATGAACGTTCACGACAGGCTCCCTACGAGCAATGCCATTCCTATAGCGAGAGGCGTTCACTTGCTCGATACCTGAATGTGTCGCAGAAAGTCCATGCAGACGTTCTTTAAATGCATCACTGAGACGATTATATGCTTCGACACCATTAGCAAAGAGAGTATCCCCTCCAGTTTCTGGGACGTCAAGAACATATAAGAAGGTCGTTCCCGGTGGCTGCTTCTCATATGTGACATCAGAGTGCCATGCTACACTATTTGTTCGAGTCTCGAAGAAACTATCAGCAGTTTTGTCACCAGCTGCTCTGTGTACTAGGTGAACTTCAGGATGATTTAGTGGAGCTCCTGATGTGGGATGGATGTGAGGTCGTCCGAAATAGCTGCCATATTTAACAGCGTCTACGATTGGTAGATCTGCAAAGTCTTGATCTCTGAAAGCTACGACCTTTCTCTCTGCGACAAATCGAGCCAATTGATCTTTGCCAGCATTGCTCAATTTGCTTAATTGTACACCTTTGATTTCTGTGCCCATCGCGGGTGTCAGTTCAACTGCCTCAACTCCCGATGCGAGTAGTTCTGGATAGGTTGTATCGGCATCCAATCCATGGTCTCTGTGCTCAAAAGATTCAAGAGGTGGGTATGTAATATCGTCCCAAGTTGGGAGATAATGTGGATACTGAGTCTGGGCATTAGAAGAGTTTCGTCACTCGCAATGAACTATGGTGAACACATACCGACGCAGGAGCAAATTTGCCAAGACCTTTCTCTTCGGCTTCTTTATCAAACGAGGTAGGAGCAAGCTCTTTATAGTTTCCAAGCTCATCGCGACTGAATCTATCAGTCACAGACTTCTTCACTTGAGTTGGAAGAGAAACTGTTTCTGTTGCTGAAGGCGCCATTGTTTTTAATAGGGTTGTTATTGTAGTGTTGCGATTGTTGGATGTATAAGTTTAACTCTAGCTTTCTTGATCAGACGGACATTTGAAGGACTTAAATACATCTGGCATGGCGCCCATTCGCAACGTCAATGTAGCTCATTCGCCAAACCTACCACATTCAACCCGTCGATTCTTGATAACGACATCACCCAAGGTTCTTATTGGAGCTTGCTCCTCAATTACCACTCCGCAAGATCTAATGATAGATAACAATCAGATCGTAACTCGCTCGGGACACCCAAGACGCAAGCAAAGACAGATGACACGCAATTCGGTGTAGTTGATCGTTGAGATATCAGAGTGGTTATTGGTCAATGAAAGATGGTGCAATTGTGCTTAGCGATCACGAATGTTGTTTGGGAAATGTGATAACAGAGTGGATATATCAGGAATCGAGAGTAGATAGTTGCATTTATTACGCATCACCTATAGAGAAGATCTCTCTACCTAGGACCTCCATCCCCGAACTCTCCCACTGACTAACCTACCGAGCCTACCCAGATGAGAGTTGATTTAGCACGTGATTTACAGCTGACATAAGTCACGTTTGTTCTTGGAAGAAGCTCTCAGCTCATCTGAACATGCATTGGACAGATTTTGAATTCGAAAATTTGATTTGAAGCAGGACAGGCTTTTGAATTGCCTTCCATCACTCATTATGGCTCATAAACCCCGTGAGCCTGAGTGCTGAGAAATCAAGTGCCAGTATGGTCGTTAAGACTATCCGTACCAATTGGTAGCCCGCCTTCGCCACCCTAGTGTGTCTAGCGGCGTCATTCTCTATCGTTTATCTCTGCGGGGCAACTTTTTTCTCTTTTATCAAAATCCCACCATCAAAAGAAAAAATACTAGAAAAAGCCCGCCATCATGTCTGCTATGGATGTTGACGACGCGCCGGTATCTATTGCCTCCAGATTTCAGACACAAGAACCAAAAACTGGTGCTACGTAAGTTTCTTCTTCAGGAATTCATTCAAGTTCCTATCGCTGATAGTTTCAAAGTATTCTCTGCTGCAACTGTGGCGCTCCTATCGATGGAACTACTTCCGCCGGTGCTCTCTGCTATGATTGTGTAAAGCTTACCGTCGATGTATCGCAAGGTATTCAAAGAGAAGCCACTGTACACTTCTGTCGAGATTGCGAAAGATGGTTACTCCCACCTCAAACCTGGATCCAAGCCTCCCTCGAATCCCGAGAACTCCTTGCCCTTTGCCTAAAAAAACTTAGAGGTTTACATAAAGTTCGAATTATCGATGCGAGTTTTATCTGGACGGAACCTCATTCTCGAAGAATCAAGGTCAAGCTCACTATACAAGATTCGGTATCGGAAGGTGTCGTTTTGCAACAGTCATTCGAGGTCGAATATGTAGTTGCCTATCAGCAATGTCCCGATTGTGCGAAATCTTACACCGCGAATACATGGAGAGCTTGTGTGCAAGTTAGACAAAAGGTTCCTCACAAGAGGACCTTCCTGTACCTGGAACAATTGATCTTGAAGCACGGTGCACACAAGGATACAATTAACATCAAGGAAGTCAAGGATGGTTTAGATTTTTTCTTCGCAGCACGAAATTCGGCGGAAAAGTTTGTCGACTTCTTGAACTCGGTTGCCCCTATTACAGCGAAGAAGTCTCAAGAACTTATTTCCATGGACATTCACACATCTACGAAATCCTACAAGTTCTCCTTTTCCGTCGAATTGGTACCGATTTGTAAGGATGATTTGGTTGCACTTCCAATTAAGTTAGCAAAGTCGGCTGGAAACATTTCACCTCTTGGTCTTTGCTACCGAATTGGTAATTCTATCAATATCCTTGACCCACAATCTCTTCAAACTGCAGAAATCAGTTGTCCCATATACTGGCGTGCACCATTCAAGCCTTTGGCTGATGTTCAGGAATTGGTGGAATTTGTCATTATGGACATTGAGCCCTTGGGTCCTACAAAGGGACGATGGGCTCTTGCTGAGGCTACTGTTGCTCGTGCATCTGACCTCGGATCAAATGACAAAACCTTCTACACGAGAACACATCTCGGAAATGTCGTCCATCCTGGGGACTCTGTTATGGGATATATGATGACTGGTACTAATTTCAATAACCCCCAATATGACGCCCTCGAAGAATCAAACAACTATGCATCGAAAATTCCTGATGTAATGCTTGTCAAGAAATTGTACGCACGAAAGAAGAAGTCCAAGAACAGGAACTGGCGCCTCAAGCGTATGGGTAAAGAAGAAGGAGAAGTCTTGCCCCGGAAGCAAGATCAAGAAAAGATGGATAGAGATTATGAGATGTTCTTACAGGATGTTGAAGAAGATCCTGAGCTCAGGCAGACACTTGCTCTATACAAGGCTCAACAGGCTCAGAAGGAAGCGGATGCTATGAGTGTGGCCGAGACGAGTGATGGTGAAGATGAGACACCAAAGATTGATATGAATGAGTTGCTAGACGAGTTTGATGAACTCAACATGAACGACCAACAATGAGTTTAACTATTCTCTGATGGTATTTCTTTTATATCCTTGGGTGGCGTTGTTTGGAAACGGCGTTTGAATGTTGTTTGCACAACTTAAAATGGTTATGAGGTTGGGAGGCATGCAGGGAACAGAGCACCCGGCTAAGCTCGAGGTAGTGAAGTGGTAAATCAAATCCTACATGCTAGTGCACCATATTTCAAGATGTATATTATGGATTGCAAAAAAAAAATATGAACATTTAGCGAAGTGCAAATTGATTATCCAGTGAACTCCACTTTTTTTTCAAATGATTGTTTTAAGAACCAAGTTCCCTGTGAGCCAATGATTTGTACGTTGTCTTCTCTTGATCTTTTTAAGGAGCATGGGATCATTCTCCTTCTCTTTATCAATGCGTGCCCGGTCAGTGCCAGGCGCCCAATCCGTAAAATGCAGACTTCCATAACAAATATGGAATTTCTCACAGTGCAAATCATGCCTTTTTTGTAAAGGATGGATGCACAAAATCATACCCGCTATGTTCAACGGTCCCCCTCAGATACATAACACATACTCCGTTATAGTACTATGTAGGGCTGCGATTGTGATGGGCGAAGTGAGTGTGTGGTGATGACATGAAGAGAGATCGAGGACGAGTAATGTAAAAATAACTAGTTGGAGGAGGATATTGAAGATACATATCATGAATGCGTGTTTGATAGAATGCTATTTTTGGGAGATGGTTAGTTGTCGTTTAGGGCTGGCTTGGATTTGGCGATATGCGGAGAAGGGATAGGAGAGAAAGGGGGTGGTAGAGAGTACTGTACAGGGACTTCAGAATCCGATGATCATGATCGCGATGCGAATTTTTAGCTCGAGCTTCTAGGTTGGCTGGGAGCGGCAGAGGGATTCACATAGTTGTGGAGAGAATTGGTGGAGATGGGTAGATGGGGCCGAAGATGACAAGTCTGCTTGACATATCTGATAGGGGCGATTCAAAATACCTAGTTTCTTGTACCAGAGAGCTAATTGAGGTATTAAAGGATGTAGAAAATGGTATAGATTATTTTTTGATACATAAGACGACCAATTGACCTCTCTGATTAGTTGAATACTGGCGAACTTTAATGCATCAAATTCCCAGACCATCTACAATACTGAGGCACAGCTAATTATCGAACACCAAAATCACACCAAAAGTCATACAAATTATCAATATATTTTTCAATAATAATATAGTATATATATAATGAATTTTATATAAATCTCTTTATTTTCAATTGAATTCTAATAAAAATAAGATTATTTATTTTTAGAATTGTTATTTATTATAAAATCTATATAGAAAGTTAGTATAAATTCAAAATATTAAAATTTACTAATAGAATAAGCGAAAATTAAGAACTTTTGTTTTGATATTAATTCAATTTTATGTACAATAATATTCTTATATTTTAAAATCATAAAAATGTTACGGGAGCTGCCTCTAGGGTCACGTGGAAGTGGCTAGAGATCTCTCGAGGTAGTTTAGACTAGACTTCAAGTAGGAATTCAATAAGGTTGTAACTGGTTGCAATTCTCGTAACTATAGTAATGAAACTAATGATTGTTCTCTTGAGCACGAAGCTCTACATTGTAATGAAATCCCATTCCCTTATATAGACCTTCGTTCTCTGTTGTCCCATTGATCCCATCGTGTCCCACCAGGTGGGAGCAGTGGGATCCAGTGAGAATCTCTAATCTCGTGACTTCCTGATCAGGTGACTCGGTATGTTGGATGCCGTCGTAACAAAAAAATCAGTTCTGGATTTCTGAATATTGAATAAAAATATATTGAGAATTTTGATTGATTTTAATGATTTTGAATATTTATGTTTTATAATTAAAAATAGAATAAAATGACTGTTTTTGGTGTGATTTTTGGAGCCGACGAACAAGATGGCAGATGGAAATTTTCCAAGAGAGTGAACAATTCGCTTCCAATCATATTCGAATCCTTCTTGCGGCGACGGGTAGACGCATGAAGGTGCACCCCCCGCCCCAGACAGATCCAGTGGTTTGTTTGTACCGATTGAGTGGTAGTAAATTTTTTAGTACACCGCTAGACAAACCTAATGTCCCAGAATTCGACCAGCCTCAAGATCATGGAAATTGCAAATCCTCATCCAGCTTTCTGAATATCCTCACAAATAGCTTGTGGAGGACATCGCTGCCAATCGAATTTGGGTATAGATCTATCATTTCGCTTGAGCATCAACATGAAGATGACATTCAATGGGAAAGGTTCTTGATAATTTCTCAAAAATTCAGGTTTTGCTACAGTGCTCGCAGTAAAAATGGCCCGGAGTTTTGCCACGCCATTTTGAATGTCCCCTTCTATTCGATGTATACTTGCAAGAGCATTGCGGAGTGAAGCAAAGTAGAAGTTTGCAATGTAACTCTTTTGCATATAGAAGGCCTAACGAATCGTGGAGCATCCAGGCATTCAAAAAGCTAAAGTAAAGAATCGTAGCTCAGGGGAACATATCAAACGGAGTGCCATCAGCATTATTTGATGGATCGTATCTCCTCGATGGCCTTGAGAGTAAGTAAATCTGCCGATAATATAAAGACTTTAAGCAACTAAAAGCTGATCACAAATTCATATAGATGCATTATCAAGGGAGTATGAATTGCCGGAGGATTTACACTTCGAGTTTTTTCTTCGCAGAACACAGTTCATAGGTGAGGATGCATTAGTCGGAAGCGTGTTTGATGGAGGAGAAACAGTGTATACTAAGTTTTTTAACGACGAGGGCGTTGAATTCGTGTGTAGTGGAATTTTTGACAATATATGGCAGGCGAAGGCAAGGAGGGGTAGACGATTAGAGTCAATGTCGAGCTGGGTGAGCTGGGGGGAACTGGACCCTAACAAGATGGCATTAGAGTGAATGGGAGTCAAAATTCTGAGCTCTTCAATTCGCAGTTTGTAATTGGTAAGTTGAGAAAGTTTTAACTTGGTCTTTAATTGTCCCAGCTGAGTTCCAACATCATGAAAGTGGCTAAAATCCTTGGTTGACAAGTGCATCCAAAATTCATAACATGCTCATCTTTCGCCAACCTCTTTTCGCTTCCCGGAATAGACCACTGAGTTGATCGATCCCTTGGATTCAATTGACACACTCGCGTGGATTAGAAAGGTGTAAATGCGCCTACCAGATAATCAAGCACTTGGTTGCAGTTACCTCATTATATTTTATCAACTGTCTTGCTATCATCGTACCAACCGTCATGGGCACTTTCCATGTTAACACCAAAAACACAGAAAGAAAATCTGCTACCTGTAACTACCAGATACAAATAACTCTACATCATTCCAGGAATATAAATCAAAAATACTCTTATCTATCAGACCAACGTAACCATTTGACCCACTCTCATCCAGAGAGAATCACCGAAAATGGGCTCTGATTCTATAATTTCAATCGGCTCTAGTCCACCAGATTCCAATGAATCTGATACTACACTTCCCATGATCTCAGACCTTAGTCCTCCAGGTTTCAATAGATCTGATACCACACTTTCCAGGACCTCAGATCTTGGTTTTCCAGATTTGAATAAGTCTGATACTACACAACCCAGGGTTTCAGAGTGTTCTCGTCCAGATTCCAATAGGCTTGATTTTACACTCCCCAGGATGCCGAGTCTTAATCATTCAAGTCGTCCAGATTCCAATGGGCTTGATTTTACACTTCCCGGGTTCTCAAACCTTCCGACTCCCAATAACTCTAGTACTCAGCTTCGAAACTATCCTAATCCTTTAAATCCCAATGACTTCAGGGCTCCAGCCCCTAACGGCCTTGGCCCTATAGTTGAGAATCACTCTGGTGTTCTTCGTCTTCCAATCACAGATGGACACACACTTGACTCTGGCCCATCAAATCCCCCCAAACTGATTCTCTCGCAACCATGCATTTCCTGCAGTCTTAATTCTCCTCAGGGTCCACCATGCAATAGAGTTCAGCCTTGCTTTAAATGTGTCAATTCAAACACATTCTGTTCGTTTCCAGCACGCACTTCTTTTGTTGAACCAGGTTCGATTCTACATTTACCCCTCACAAATACACTGGCTGCTAACAATAATATTAATGTGAAGATGTATTATATATTACAGTACATCTACCTTATTATCAGTCAGTCAATTTTACATCTTGTCTCTGGTAAAATCAACTAACGCAATTAGCATAGATCTGAGGAGTGCAGCAGAGATCCATCTAATAGACAAAATCTCGTAACGGCAGTCCAGAGCACAAAGACGGCGGCGAAACTTATAGAAGATCTACGGTGTAATCATCCTATATCACACACTGTACCTGAGCACGAACTGACAGACCAAGTAGCTTCAGCATTAATAGCGATTGCTCCAGTCCCGAATTACATCTTTTTCCGGTATTACATCCAAGGCAGGGAGATATGGGCGAATGATCATGCGTTAGTGAGAGACCTGAAGTGGGGAAATGATGATTATATAGAATTGCGTGCCTTCAATATTCATACGGGAAGGGAGTATCATGGATGTATGGGAAGATGGTTTCAGAGTGTATGAGAACGTGGGAAAAAGGAGTATGTTTTGTTCTCTGCGCTATACACCCACAGCGAGAATTTGGAGACCTAAGCAATTGTCCAGCGAAAGATTGAATACTCGCAACTTTCTTTGCTCTCATTATTCCTTATAGACTTACAAAGGGGCTGTGGTGAGGTGGTTGATCCAATTTCAGCGGGAAAAGACCGGAAGACGAAACCTTGAGGTCGAGAAAGTGTTTGATTTGAAACTTTAAAATCAACATGATGGATGTCACGAAAATTAGATCTTCCAATCTGACTGCGCGATGTGTTGCGAATACTATCGTGTGGTTACTGAAAAAGGCACGTGATTATCACGTCTTTCTTTAGCCGAGTCTATGATGTCTGAGTCTTTTGCATTGATTGTTGTCATGAATAACAACAAACCAAATACCGGTAGATATCTCGTAGATTACGATGGTAAAATGGAGCGGTTATTTTACAAATCAATTATAAAGCAAAAAGATGGAGTATATTTCATCCATGCAACGAGAATATACAAGGTATCGACAATCTAAAACCACTGACGTCGTTGATTAGATTAACGACTTGAACAATATGACGTAGATGTCTTTATCGATCCTGATTCTTCTCCGTGCTTAACATTTCGATATAAGAATACCATATTTCAACATCTATTTCCTCTTTTGCATATTGACTTCGAAAACTACAACATAATCAATCAAATTAGTTAATTCAATATGGCACTTAGTCAAGCAGCAGCTCTCCTCGAGAAAGTCGTCGGTCATGATGTCAATGCTGTCACCGAACAAGATGTAACGAATCCAGGACGGGACCGTCAAAAGTATGCGGATCCAAGTGGCGAGACTATGAAAGCTCTATGTTGGATGGGGAAAAATACTGTCAAGATGCGTAAGTTTCTCCAATGATTAGTATAATCATCCCACATCTAATATCTCTCTTCCATGAATAGAAGAAGTACCAAAACCAAGAGTCGTTGAAGATAGAGATGTCATTCTAAAAGTTACCGGAAGTACTGTATGTGGAAGTGATCTCCATTTACTTCATGGCTCGGTTATAGAGTTGGAGAAGGGAGATATTCTCGGTCATGAGTTTTGTGGTGAAGTTGAGTCGATGGGCCCAGCTGTTAAGGGGTTGCAGAAGGGTGATCGTGTGGTTGCCAGTTTCCAGATTGCTTGTGGTGATTGTTACTATTGTCAAAAGAAACAATCATCGCAATGTGAAAAGACGAATAGTAATACCATTGAAAATGGAATGGTATGTTCCCGTGTTGATCGTCAAAGGATATCAGATGCTAACTTCGATAGTATGGTGGAAGAACTGCAGGAATGTTTGGCTACTCTCATTTCACTGGTGGATTTGCAGGTGGTCAAGCAGAATACGTCAGAGTACCATTCGGAGATGTCAATCTTCTCAAGCTTCCATCAAATGTTCCAGATGAGAAGGGTCTCTTCTTATCAGATGTCATCTGCACATCTTGGAACTGTGTTGTCGATACCGGAGTCGAGAACGGAGACGTAGTTGCTATTTGGGGTGCTGGTAAGTATCTATGATCAACTAATTAGTCAATCATTCTAACAAAATTTAGGCCCTATTGGACAAATGTGTGCAGAGTTTGCTTTCATGAACGGGGCATCCCGAGTCATCATGATCGATAGTAATTGGAGATTGGACTTTGTCAAGTCTAAAATCCCCAAGGTAGAACTACTCGATTATAGTAAACTCCCTCGAGGAACATCAGTCACCTCCAAACTAAAGGAGATGGTTCCACGAGGACCCGATGTCGCACTCGAGTGCGTAGCAGGTGAATATGCTAAAGGCTGGGCCCATTACTTCGAGATGATGCTCGGTATGGAAACAGACACATCCGAGATTATTAACGAAATGATCACATCCGTTAAGAACTTCGGTCGATGTGGTATCACCGGCGTGTACGTCGGCTACACAAACCACTTCAATATCGGATCTTTGATGGAACGCGGTATCCGACTTATTGGCAATGGACAAGCTCCAGTACATATGTACTGGGAAAAACTTCTTGAAATGATTGAGAAGAACGAATTTGATCCTTTGCAAATGGTATCTCATCGGGTTTCATTGGATGAACTTGACGATGTCTACTATAAGTTTGAGAAGAAGGAAGACGGAATGCAGAAAGTTTTTGTGCAGACAAAGTTTTCTGCGCCAGCTGCCCCGGGTACTCCAAGTCTTACAACTTATAAGAAGTGAGGGATGAACGGATGAATGGAATGTTTAATGATGGCTGATAATGATGATGAAAACATGTACTTAGCAAAAGCGCAATATATCAATATTTATTACGAAGCAAGAATGTTCTTGTGTAGAGATCACATGTGCGTATTACAGATGTTCAAGCATATCAATGAGCCATTAGACCATGATACTAGGTAAAATTGTTATGATTCCAGTGAATCCCGTGTAATTTTCCACTCACGTCTTTCTCTCAGTCAGACCTCTGGTAAATAAATTGAACATGAACACCATAACTCCTGAGCCATCGCCCATTTCAAATCATCTCATTTCCGCTCCCTCCCACTGCAACTTCAACTCTTTAGAGTTTTCCGTGCTATTGTCATTTCTTTCCATCGTAAATCATCTCAAGCTCGTTCCCTATATACATTCCACCCTTCATTTTAACCGAAAAATACCAGCCATTTAACAAGTAGCCATCATAGTAACTAATGCCGCCTTCTCCGCACTTGTGACGGTAAGTTTATAGACAGATTTGACCTTGATCCACATTTTTGCATATGTGCACCAGTACGAAGCTATTGAACCTGTTAGCATATTTTCATTCATCTAAATCCCCCTTCTCCCTCCGCTTTTTTCTTCTATGCAGTTCCGAATCGAAGCGCTTTGGATAAGTCGACAACCGAAACAAATCCTCAGACAAACGACTTAAGACAAGAAATCAACTTACTCAAAGAGGGCTTGAACTCTTCCGGTCCACTGTCTCCCTTACTCTCATTGACATTATCGGTAACAGCCAACAATTGTGGGTTGACAAGGTCGTTAGCAAAAGCCTGGCGTTGAGCCGTAGTCCATGCAGAAGCACCTGATTTCCAAGCGTTACTCAAGGGAACAAGATGATCGATATCGAGATCGGAGGCGGCGGTCCAGGTGGCACCATCGTATGGAGATACCCAGGTTCCAGATGTGGCAGCACAGGCGGAATTAACGACGACATTTTCACCGTCGCGCTTTAAAACGGTCTCACGTGTATTGCAAGTGCCGGAGATAGTGTTCCACTAGAGAGGATAGTGTGTTAGATTGGGGTTTGGGCAAATCGGGGAGGTGTGTGAGTAAGCTAGAGAAGGTTGAGGGAAGGGAAAGGAGAGGGTGAAATGCAAGGAATGAGATGAGGAGATGATCGAATGAACAGAGGAACAGAGGAACATACAGTAGGGAACAAATCTCTCGCATAACCATCTTGACTTCCGGCCGCAGCCACAGTCAGACCGGCAAGCTCGGTATTAGCAGTAGCTGTGGTTGGTACTCCGGTTGGTTCTGGCACTGGCACTGGAGTTGCTTGGACGAGAAGTCCCGTTGCTAGCACGGTGAGGAAAAGACCTTTAAGCATGATGAAATGAAGTTTAACTGTGAGAGTATACTTGTATTATCGAATTGAGGCGAAGGATGAAGAGAAGAACATGAGATGGCAACACCAGTCTTTTATAACCAATTCATACTGAATACTGATTAGAACAATGGGATATATCAGCATATCCCCATCTTAAATTCTGGGGCCGATTTCTGGGCACGGCGGCATGCGAACATCGTTGCGTTCACTCCGGATTCTTTATCAAGAGGACGCATTTCAAATCAGCGTTCACATGTTTATCATCCACTCCATATCATCTTTACCTCTTCCCAAATCCATTTTCCCTTTATCCTATCATACCAGATGTCACCCACACGCCTGTGAACTATAATCTTTACCATGGTGTTGAGCTTCCCAAAGCAGGCATTTGACCCCATTAACTCCCTTTACACATTCTTGGCACGCACAAGGCTTGAAGACCCTTTTTCACGACAGCGACAGTGTTCTTCAAAGTTAAAAGATACAGTTGATAAGCATCAAATCATTTCGGCACATGGTCTTGGCTGCTTATATTTCATACCTTATGTGGAAGGTGGGGAGGTGCTTGGCATAAGGTTACGGACGCCGCCTAATGGTTGCCGTGAACTTGCATGGAGAGGGTGCATCTTATAGTCGTGGTAAATTGGAATATACTTGAAACATACAAGAATTAATACACGAATGAACTTGTCAATGAAAGATAGTAAAGATGTATACCTTCATACTTTCGTATTAACCTACCTCTAACTCGAATTCGTCAATGCATTTCCAAGATGCCGATCCAGCGTCTCCAATCTACTTTGCTAAGTGACGTCCAATTGATTCCTCAATCTTTCTTTGTTAATGAACCAGTCTTCATCCATTCTCGTTTTCCATTCTCTTTCTCCATTCCATCTACTTGAATCATCCAGGAACTCTGATGGAGCCAGTCGTTCGGAGGTATTCAACCAAGCCCTCAACTTGCCCATCGAGATCTGGTTCCTTGCAATCGTTTGTGAAATAAATGGGGTGAAAACACCTGAAGCGGCGAAGGGTCTCTATCATATCCTCCCTTATTTGCCTGAGCTCTAGATCGGCTGGGTCTGTCATGATACTACCAAGGAATATTGGGTTTCCCAGATGTGCAAATGTCCTATCAAACCTCCTTCCGGGTGGCAGATCCAAAGTGTTTCGCATGAAACTCACCACATCGTTAAAGATCTGCATCTGTTTGTCTGTATATTCTTCCAGGGACAAATCCTCAAGGTTTGGTGTCGTATCCATCCGCAACTTGACCTGCGCGTGAAATGGAAGTACACCATTCATTCCTATGAACCCTCCCATTCCCCCACCGTGGTTCCCTTGACTAGCTAGAAACAAATGCAGTGCTGCAGTAGCGCCATCTGATAGACCACCTATGAAGACATTCTGTATACCTACAAGATTCGATTCTCTGTCGACAAGTTGTTGGATGGGTTCCATCATCTGACCAAGCGCTTCGAGTATGTCTAATCGCTCTTCCGATTGAACGGTTTCTGAATATGCAGTCCATAAATCGACCATCTCATCAGTCGGATCGCTCGTGTCGCTCTCTATATCCTGCACTAACCAGGGATAATCAACTTCGGGAAAGCACCAATTTGTTCCAGGAAATATGGACATGATGGTTTCACCATTCAGTCTTGCTTCCATGAATTCTTTTGCCCAGCCAACGGCAGTATCAAAGACGTCATGAACAAGAATGACGGAACGGGTATGATAGGTCCCGATTTTTCGAGGAATGATCACGGATCCGTCCGGATATACTTGTGCCCCTAGACGTGTGGATTCTTCTGTCTTAATATCATTTTCATCAACTTTTGAATCTTTTCTCTCCTCCGAGGGCTGTTCATTCGATTGTTCAGCGGCAGCATTCATTGCAATTGGGTTTAGATCTTCAGAAGTCTGGTCGATGTTTGAGAGGTTGACTACTTGAATTTTAACAGTTGAAGATATCGATTTGTTGCGTCCAAAGTTGATTATGCCAATGCTAGATTAAATCTTGAAGAGGTAAAGATACACTCGGAGGTCGAATATACCAATGTTTCTATTGAATGCCTGAGCAATTGTACTTGGTCGATTATGCTAATACGCAATTAAATAACATGAAGAATGAAGAAAATACAGTATCATCCAGATGAAATGAAGTAGGTACCATGGTTTGTGTGGTGTCGCTACTTCCCAAGTGATCCTACCTATACCTAATATTTGGATGGCAGCTTCGAACATGTTCAGGTGCTAATTTGGTCAATGGATCTGACGAGATGAAGCCACATCTGATTCTGGGAACTAATTTGGTTACTTTGAATTGTGTGGATTGCTGGAATGGAGTGATGCATTGGGATGGTTTGAATGCTTGAGATGGTTTGGGTCAATACTTGAGAACTTTAGTTCTAGATACTTGATATGAACGATTCCTCTCCATATTGAAACTACCTATCTCATCCCAAACTGCTGTAAACCAGTGACAATCAAAATCACATCCCCACTAATGAAGGGAAGGAGTAGGTCATACATAAATGTTCCATTCTCTATCAACACTATGTTGATGAGTATACTTCAAGACCTAACCACCACAGATAAATTGTATGATGTACCTGTCTCGAGCCTGTATAATGTTGTAGAGGCCGACTCAAATGGAAGCAACTCAACTCGGTGATATCGAGGTATTCTGAGGTATCAACAGTTGGTATGGCGGCCCAAGCTTGCCCTGAGAAGTTCGGTATTCGGTATTCGGAATTGTCGTCAGATACCAAGATAATCTCATCAAAACATAAGAATCGAAGCAAATCCAGAAAATTTGTTTCCCCATGAGACAATGAGTACTCGTTTGCTGAGAATTGCATGAAAAGTATGAAAGTCGAAGGTTTATAGGTGTTAAGGTCTCAGACTATCTGCCAGCTTCATAGACATCGTTTGATTTGCTAATTACACTCGAGTAGCTTCAAAGATTATCACTGACAATCCATAGATGCGCAAGAGAATGACGACGATACTAATAACTCAATAGCACCTTCAGGATTCTCACCATTCCTTCCGGTTTCAACTTGATATATATCCATTCGCTCCGCACATTATCGAATCTTTCATTGCGATCCACGAGCCTGTTCAATTGCCGATCTGAAACTTCCTTCAAAGCTTTCTACCAAATAATTTCGAAGCCTGGACACTTTTACCTGGACGATGTCCTGACTCGATCTGGCGATTATCTTGCTGTGTGCTGTGTGCTGTGTGCGTGGATTGCGATTCGTCAGTTTGGACAAGGCTACATAAACACTTCGACAAAATCAAAGGATTACTAAACGATTCACTCAATATCCATACGCGTTATTCTCTCACCGATGCCTGCGAATTTCGGAACTTATATACTTTGAGAAATGAATGTCCGATATCCAGCCCGTTCCAATTTGCTTTACCCTACCGAGTATCGGCCAGCTTTCCAGTAATTTATATTTGAGTGGTCTGAGGTGGCAACCTGCAAGACGAATCGCCGGTGTGGGCTCATGTCAAGGACTGTATTGGATTACGAGAGCGATACGGCAGTCATATCCGTTCCGTTGGGATTTCCAGCTGCAGTTTTCTGCATGACAGGTAAGCAATTACTTTATATGGATAGACGACCGATTTCCACCACTATATGATAGACAGCAAGGACTGGTGCAAGGGCAAAATCGAAATGCGAACCCGACAAGTGATTTCGATTGTCAGCTATCAATAAACGAAAGTCTTTAGGGGATCTTCAAGCATTGCAGTCAGTCGAACACATGAACTGTGAGCCGCATGCGCGTTTTCTTTGGATGTCAGTGGATTCTTTCGAATTTCGAATAGATAGGAGTCGAAATTGGTGTCATGTACATCGTTTAATGCGGCAATGCGAGTGGGAACTTCGACAAGCAAAGTGACGGGGGCAGGTAAGCGGAGATACCGGAGAGAGATCATGTCTTCCCGCCCCACAAATTGATGGAGCAAAGTCCAATGTTTTTGACGCATGGTTTTTACAGAAACAGAAGTTCGATTTGTTTGCATGATTTTGTGTGTGCAGGTTTTTTATCATTCTCTTTGGATTGTTTTACGTCAGCATAGTCAGCACTATACTGCCATTAGCATCTTCCCCCACGCTATCTCCTATCCAAGTTTTCACCTCCTTCATCGTTAGCGAGTTTTCTCGGGAAAAATTGCTTCGAAATGGCACCCTCTGTTTCCTACTTCATTCTTTAAGAGGACTTAATGTTACGTAGAGATACTTAGAGCTCAATGAAAGTAGCAATTACAGCCAATGTCAATTGAGGAAATACATCTACATGGTTCTCCGCAGCTGTTACTAGGGTATTTTACCATCGGCAGGACTTTCAACGAATGATGTTCCTCCCTACTGGGGTGATTGTGGGACAAAGCTTCATAATCAATACCATCACCATGTGCTGTGCCTCTTAAGGACTTTTAGCCCTGTACACTTTTGAGAAATTGGATATGGGTCCTTGTCTTATCTCACAAGAATGGTTACTGCGAGGCGAGATCTCCCAAATCATTTCTGACGGGTAAACGTTGTTCAAAATGTCTTGGCCCTCTTCTTTCTTATTGTTTTATTCTCTCTTAAAACAAAACTTTCTTTTTTCTTTGGTTTCGGCACATCACATCTTGACAAGCTATTTTCGTCACATCTTCAAGCCATGGACGCCTTTACTCCAGCACAGGCGAGTTTAAACACGTTTCACAGCTTCACACATTTTCAACTAACATGTTTCGCACCCATAGACGACCGAGCTCGTCTCGCGCATCGGTGCCAAAAAAGCCCGTATGAGAATTGATAAAATGTTCATCAACTCTTTCATGGGAGGATGTCTCATTTCTTTTGGATGCGCTCTTGCTCTCTCCACCAATTCTTCCCCATGGTTTCAAACAAATGCTCCAGGTCTTATCCGTACTATCTCTGCGATGGTCTTCCCTGTTGGATTGATCATGGTTGTCCTTACGGGAGCCGATTTGTTCACGAGTTATTGCATGTACAGTGTGGTCGCTTTATTGCATAGACGCTGTAGCTTTTTGGATTTGTTGAAAACCTGGGTTGTCAGTTTCTTCGGAAATCTGGCGGGAGCTTTGTTTTTCATGGCTGTCCTTACTGGTTGTAAGTATCCGCGCTCAACTTTGTCCGGGATCGTGGATTGTGGGATGCTAACAGACGATTAGATGGCGGCACATTCGAATCTGGAGCATACAAAGCAGAAGCTCTTTCATTCGCAAAGGGAAAAGCAGTTACTCCAGAATGGCATCAAATTTTCCTCAAGGCAATTATGTGTACGTTTGTCCTCTCCTGTGTGATTTTTCATTTCCACAGAAGCATGAACGATGGTTCAAGAATCTTTACTCACGATATTACACAGGCAATTGGCTCGTCTGCATGGCCGTATTTCTCGCCATCTCGTCCCGCGAGGTTCTCTCCAAAATCGTCGCTATCTGGTTTCCTGTGATGTGCTTCGTCGGTTTAGGAACTGATCACGTTATTGCTAACAGTTCGTATTCCATTTCCTTAACATTTTCTTTCCATGTATGAAATATCGCTTGTTGTGCAAGTGAATCAGGCGCCAAGCATGATTCCCCTGCCAAGTCATTGGCGCCAGCCCTACTAGTCCAAGCCACTAACGCGTCACTCCAGTGTACTTCATTCCTCTCGCCATCTTCCTTGGAGCACCTGCCCCCCTTACAGTAAACTACTACATCTGGAAATCATTGATCCCATCTCTCCTCGGCAACATCGTCGGCGGTGGCGTTTTCTGCGGTGGTGTATACTGGTATCTTTTCCTTGCACACGAAACTGTACCAATTCATTTCGATACTGTCGATGCAAACACCGCAGTCTATGAACAAGGTGGTCCAATTCAAAGACAAGTTACAATTGAGGGAGCAGGAACAGGTTATGGACATACCCAAAATCCAGAGGTGGTTCCAAACTCAGGAAACAATGGAAGGAGTGGAATTGCCAAGGAATTGCACCTCGGAGCAGTTGAGAATTTAGGGAGAAAAAAGGAGGGAAGTGAAGGAAGCAGTGGAAGTGTTTGATTGAGGATGGTTATGGGATGAGAATCTTGGACGAGCGGAACGAAAACTAGTATGCTGAAGACTGGACTTGAAAAGGAGTTGGAAAAATAGGTTAAGATGCGGTGATACCATATTATTTTTTTGATACACGGCGGTACGTTTAGATGGTGCGCTGTTGTATAATGATTTGAAGATTTAGCTATTTTGTGTATATTTCACTCTTTTTAAAATCAGTATACGTGTAATGATATCATAAATTTCTACTTACAAATGATTCGATCAAAATCTAATCTTCAACATCCCACCAGTAGGTGTATGGACCAATGGGACACTGCAAAAATTGACTTGTGAATATTTCTTGATATATCAATTCCTATATCTTAAGAATTTTTACAACTGTTCTCTGGAAATGAAACAGTTGAAGGGTAAATTCTGATATCAAACAATTAAAGAATGAATTTGTGAAAAAATTCGAAAGTTAAGAAGTGTTCTGTCAATCTATGCATCTACTAGTAATTCCCAACAATTCGATATTTTGAATACATCTCCTCCATGTAATGACGGAATGTCAAATAAGTTGTCAAACAGAATCTCAAAAGTGGTTGTTTGTATCGATTGTATATTTTTCTTCCTATATCATTACAAATTGAACGCCACACCATTTGCCAGCCATTGTTTCGCTCTCTCCCATTCCCATCTCATCTCGTGTATATTCATTCATCTTCGTTCTTGCCTACATTCTCTATGATCCCACGATCACTATACTTCTCTTTCATTATATCACGTACACATCCACCATCTATACGTTTTACCGCACTTCCCACCAAGATTAATAGCTTAAG